GATTATCAGGGCTAATTTCTGTGAGCAGTGATGAGGAGGCGACACTATAATGGTCTCCAATAACAGAAAACCAACGTTTCTCCCACGTAATGGACAATAATTATTGGAAACCACTGGGACCAATCAGTTACTTCATGTAATTGATTGGTCCCTGTGAGTGAGTACTCAGTGGATGAAAATGGACTGGACAGCAAAAGAGGAAAACACACTATTCGAGAACCAGTCTGATTCGCTGACGCATTCTGACGACGCCGACACCTGCGCCGCTGCGCTCGACTCAACAAGCACTCTATGGGTTCTTAGTTCTCGTCTCCTTGTCATTAACAAGGTAATAGTTGGATAAAATTAACATTATCCATCAAGAGGGAATACTAGGTGATAAATCTCCCCCCCCCACCCCCACGCTATTGCCTTTACATTAATGGACAGTGGGGAGTTGAAACCGCAGTAGGAGTTAATGTGGACGTCTACAGGAACAGTCGGTGTGTTTAACAGTCCAGCCTTATCCTTGATCTTCACTTAAATTGGAGTCATTTTTCATCCGTTGGCTGTTTAGAAACATTAACCTACAGTGTGTGTGAAGTCGTGTGTGTGTGTTTAAACAGACCTGGGAATGCACCGACACTTTGTGAGTAAAATGGTGAAGACAGCATGCTTTGGCCAACAGCTGAGGACTGAGGAGGGACACAGATAAATCCCTAATGGAACACAGTCATGTGGTGAATCGGTTTGAATCGTTTCAACTGATGTCTAAAGCTTATTTAGATTAAACTTTTAAGACATTTTTAGGCATGGGAAAAATGATATGCACTGTATATCCCATAACTCCATCCGTCCACTTACTGTATACAGTATGTGATGTAAGTGTAATTTTTTTAACGTTTTTACAGCATGATTGTAACATGTTCTAATTTAGACACATTGTGGGAAAACTATTTGTTTTACAACAGGTTTAGATTGAAAAAGTAGATTTGTCCTGGTGCCAAAGACGTCCCCCAGAATTCTACAAAGAAGGAATTCTATTATGGAAACTACACCTGAGCAAGTGGTTAGGTTTTTTTAAACTCACTCACTTTTATTTACATGGGTCAGCTCTAAATAATTCACAACAGAAAGCAGCTAAAAAAAAATTCATATTGACTCAAATTTGAAAAAATCACTTCTTCACTTTTACAGTTCACAGTTTAGAGGGCTGTTAAATTCCAAAACAAACTAAAAAAAACATCTAAAATGATTTAAAAGTACACTGTAATGAAGCCAATCAACTATGGCATTTCTGTTAAGAAGATAATGAATAAAAATAACAGTAATATTACTTTTTTATGAAGCATTAAATCTCATCAGGTATTTTTCTCAGAGTACCAAAGGTGTTTTTTGGTTTTGTTTTGTTTGTTTTTTTGTAATTTCCCCGTGTTAATTTCTCTGGAGCTGCTGCGTTCGAGTGTCTTGTTTCTAAATGCACATAAAGACAATTCATTTCCACAACAAATGAAATGCTACTGATATTCTGCCCTGGGAAGCGATAAAGTGCTGCAGAATGAAATTACACCATGGAGACCATATGCTCCATCAAACTGTGGACCACCACTGGGTGAGTGACAGTGTGTGATTCTAATGAGGCGCAGAGGAGTAAGGAATGATCTGAAAAACCATCAAACTGTGAGGTTTCATGATAGAGTTTAAATCCTGATAGCCTGAAAAATGACCGCCTGTTTCATCACTCGCAAACCACACAATAAAAGAGGAAGGGATGGGGGGAGCAGTGAGGTAAAAGGGGTTGAGCAAAATGAAAAGAGGAAAAAAAAAAGAAGACAAACAAATCAATGGAGATTAATGTGAAATAGTGACTCGGAAAAACAGGTCAATTTAGTGTTGCCCCTTCACCTGAGATGAGCCTTTTATTTTTCCGCTGTCAAGAGAATAGGAATTCAGTTTTGATTTAGTGTTAAACCAGAACAATTTGGTGAAACCCAAGCGTTGCGTTATCGGGTTTTCGTTATCGGAGGAAAAATCGATAACTATTCTTACAGATATTGGATTATATGCTAATATCGGGCCGATAATATCGGTCGGCCGATATTATCCATTAATTTGTCTCAATTAATCCCTGCGGTTCATCTATTATATTTCTTACAGTGAAGTGTTATTAATAAAATTCTAAAGTTCACTGTTCACATTTCCTGTTTCCACAATTAGAATCAAGTCAACGTCTTTCTGTCTTAGAAGCCCCTTGGTGGTCATTGTAGACATTTCAGCTACATCAGCGTTTGTCTTTTACTTTCTGGACCTGGAGAATATGTCTATTATTTATGCCGGGTGCAGTAAAGACGCAGCGTCACGACCAGTTTTATTGGACCACCATAGAAAAACAAAATGTTTGCAAACACAGTTGAGCTTTCTAACTAACATTTTATAATCTATCTGGCATGAGATGCAGATCGGTGTAAAGAAAATGTATGGATCCGATTAGGTTCCTGTTGAGTCATTTGGACAAATGGCAGCAGGCATTCATCTGCAGCATGACATGTCCCTGCAATGAAAGATCCATGGGTGTGATTACTGACTGATGTGAAAGGGAGACTGTGCATACTTGATATAGTGTTTCCAGCCAATGTGGACACACACACCAAAGCTAGGATATGAAAGCAATGATGCATTGCAGCAGCTAGCCTGTAGATTGAGTAAGTGAAGAGGCTCTCCAGCTGCAGTTCCAGTCATTATGCTACTCTCCACACCTCGCACCGCAGAGCACTTATTCCAACACAACAGGAGGGAGCATCAGCCGTGCCTAGCACAACAGAGAGAATAGAGTGTCAAGAGTCACAGAGGAGGAGAAATGGGCTGATAGACTCTCTCGTGCATGCACTCTCTCCCTCCAAAAGTGCTCTGAGGTTCTCGATATTTTCCAGAGACTGATGACTGTGGAGATAAATGTGATGCTAAGATCCCAAAAGAGGAAATGTTATTGGGAAAAAAACAATCCTTTCTCTTGCTCTATATGTAATTAATTCTCTTTCTTATTTTCCTCGTTGTATTAAATTAAAACATCTCTCCCTCCTCCCGCCATGGAGTCTCACCTAGGCTCATTAAAAGCTGCCGTTTAAATGCTAACAGTTTTATCGTTTCACAGCAAATAAATGTTCTGTTCTTGGACAGGTTGATTTTATTACTGATTTCCTTGTTATTTTCATAAATAATCCTAAAAATGTTAAAAAAAAAAAAAAGTTAAAACTGAGTTGTGAATACTATAAGTGTAGACGCAAACACTTGGACTGGCTTTCTTTAATTGACGCGTGATTTCAGTGTTGATAGAAAGGTCAACATTTGAGCATGTTTTCACACCTCCCTCCATTAATTCTTTTTTTTATATAACTGGTACTCACAGCATCTCTTTGTGAAGATCTTTGTGAATAGTCCTTTTTAAAAATCCTAAACAGTACTGATCCCTCAAGCTGAAGAGATCTCATCCTTGGATGGTCTCCCATCTCAACACTGTATATAAGGACTGTGAATATATAATTAGTCAGTCTGATGAAAAAGTCCTCATGTTTTTCCAGGGTTCCAGGGTTGGACTGGTGGCCTGTCGCTAAACATACAGTCAACACAGAGGTCAGATAGTATGAGGATCAGTGGACTGGAACGGCTGCCACACTTAGAAGATGGAACCAGGGTTAATGAATGTCAAATGAGTCAGTGTTAATAATAATAAATATTATTATTATTATAATCACCATCATAATTTCTGCTATTTAACATTACAACAAAAGTCATTTTGTTGTTTTGTGAATTTGGAGACAAGAAGTTGAGTGAGAGAGAAAGGGGGGGAGAGAGAGAGAGAGAGAGAGAGAGAGATGAGTGCATTAATGTGGTATTTTATAGGTCCATATAAAAGGTGGTTCAGTCAGTGATTTATGTCTCTCACCATGAGCCAAACAGCGTAAAAGCATAGATTAGAAATACAAAGCTCATTAATAAACGTGTGCTAGGTGTAGTAAAAAATCACTGAGTGTGGTTTTGGTTTGGCACTGAGGGTTGGCACGTTACTCTCCCACCCGTCAATCTCACATTAACGTCTTTCTAATTCTGCTGATTTGAATCAGCTCGAAATGAATGGTGTAGTGGCTGCAGGTGATTCGTTCTTCGTATACGTGACAGTATCTGTTATCTGGGTATTGTTTGTGGTACTGTTCTCCACATACAGTCCTGTTGTTAAAGCGTATGTTAATGACAGCATACCAGAGTTCAATGTTCTTGACCCTAATCAGCCAATGTTTCGCCTTCGTCTTCGTCGTACGACTGCCGAGCTCTGGTTGATTAGTCACCAACCAGGTCCGTCATCCGACCTGTCATTGCTCTTTGGTCCTTTCATCCCTCTTTGTGATTTCAATAGCAATGACAACCTTATGTCTTTTTTCACTGGGAATTGCTGTGGAATATTTGTGGTTTTGTACTCTTTTAATTCTATAGTGTGACCATAGAACTTTATAGAAACTTAGCTTCATGGAAATGCAGCTCCCTGTGAATTTTATTTGATGGTTATACAATAAAATAAAAATTGCTTCTTGGGGTGTTGAAGGTTTCAGACGCCTGAATTTCTTTGTTTTTGCTGCTAATGGTTCCTATTCAAACAAAATCAATTTTCAAACAAACTGATGTATTCTATAGAATACATCAACGAAACAACAATTAACGCTAATGAACTGCTTTAGGGCTTTAAGTCTATGGTCTGGGTTAGTAAAAAGTGTCTACGTTTAAAACGAAATGAATGAAAAATTCTTATTTTTCATTTGAAAATTATCTCTTTGGAGTAACTGCTCCATAGTGATACCTGGGAGAGGTATTACCAGTTGTCAAAGGAGTAGCTGCAGTGTTATAATGAAAAATAGCAAAAACAACAATACGTTTTTCTTTTCTTTTTTTCAGAATCATTCACCACCTGCTCTCTTTTACTTATTCTCTCTCTCTCTCTCTCTCTCTCTCTCTCTTTGTGAATCATGCAGCACTGAGGTGGTCTGTGGTGTACGCCCCCACGGAGCTGAGGCCAGGGTAGCAGCTGTCCCTATCAGACTCTCCTCAGCGCTGTCACAACCTGTCTGCTCTCACAGCTAATCACGTCCTACAGGCCTGCAGCGTGGGACCACCGCTGCTAATGTCTGCACCGAATGGGCTGGGATAGACTCGCAGAGTGGGCATGATGTCACTCATAACAGTGTACTTCATGTATGTGTGTGTGTGTGTGTGTTCATGCCTTAGGGTGGTGCAACATGAGCTGCGTAAAAACAACAACATATACAGAGTAAAACACACACGACGGTCGTTACACGGCGGCTAACAAGCTTAGCTGTATGACTGTGGTCGTTGTTAATGACACACACTTCTCTCTGGTGGGGTCAGACCTCATGTTGAGCATCGCTGCAGCGACGTCTAGTAAAAATGATTCGTTATTAGTGGCTCTAGCAATGCATCGATTTGGAAAAAATGCTTTTGCCAATGATATGAATGAGTGAATCATATATAGGATCTTTGGAGCTTCTCTTTGGCTGCCAAAAGGCCAAGAAACAGATCAATGCCACGGCCGATATAGAATAAAAAAAAGTTAAACGTAGAAAACAGGCATAAAGGACAACTGGTGCAGCCACACTGCTGTAACTTAACAAACTTGTAGAACTGTCGCACAGAGGAGGATCATCTGTGAGCTCAAAACAAACCTGAAGAGCCAGAGATGATGGACTAAAAAGACGTGAGGCAGCATTTTGCAAAAGTAAAGACAAGAGCGAAGTGTGTGTGAGAGAAGAGGCTTGACAGGGCAGTGAAAATGTGGCAGGCAGATCAAGTACTGTTTTTTTTTTTCAGCGGAGCGGCTGTCCTTGTCCCGGACCCTTCTGCTCCCAATGAGAAAAAAAATCTGCTCTAATAACATGTCAGAATATTCTCATGAAAACTTTCTGCAGGTTTTCTCTAACTCTCAAACATCCCCCTCGTTTTCTAATCTATCTTGACAGGGTGGTCAAAAACTTTTAACTTTCACTGCCTCTGCTTTAAAGACTGGATGGGTCTGTCATGCTGAAGTGAGGCTGAAATTCTGACGGGGCATACACAGGTCTTTGAAGCTCATCCGGTCCAAACACACAGCGAGACTGCTGTCAGAAGCAGCATTAAATCCACCGGATGGCTGCTCGCTTTAACAAACTCCTAACGCCCGTGCACCCTTCACTCTGCGCACGAGCGTGCCCCGCGTGCACCACCGCTCTCTGTGGTCTCTAAACGGCTGGTTACCTGCTGGTATTATCGTGGCCTGCGAGTGTGGGGGGTTTTATTTTTATTTATTTATTCCTTTCTGCTCCAGCACATGCAGGCTTTTGTGTTGCGTGTGTGTTTTGAAGCCCACCACGTCTGCTATTATTTATGTGTGTGCGTGTGCCTTCCGCAGAGCTCAACATTTGTCAGCAAAGCCAGGGAGCAGTTGTTTGTTTGTCGGTTGTTTGTCAGCAAGCAACAAAGAGCTCGGCAGAAGAAACGCCAGACGCCACTCTGTAATTTAGCACCACCGCTATCCTGGCTTGTTAGCGCTGCTCCTGAGTGTAGTGGAGGCCGGGGGTCATCAAGTTGTCGTAGCTGCTGAGGGTTGGACCGTTATTGTGAAGCTCATTTACCCCGGGGAGCATGCAGCACAATCATTCTCCTGCGTGTTTCTTTCCATCTGTGTTGGCTCGGTGACTTCAGTGATTTATTGAACCTGCAGTGATTTCTAACCTGCGGTTCTCAACGTGATCGGATGATGAGATTTGATAAAATAATTTCTGGGGAACATGTGTTACAGCAGTGTTGAACAGTTGAGAAAGATACATGAGTATGAGTTGAGCTTTGATGGCTTTTCAGAGCAGATTGAATACAGTTTTTGTGCGTTGACTCGTCACACCTTTAGCATGCAAATCGTATCAGGTATTAAAATGTGGAAAGTCATAGAAACTTTGTTGAATTTCTTTTCAACAAAATGGTGTTACCCATGAATAAGCCCCTTCATCGTCACCACTGACAAAAGAAGCGAAAAATGTCTGCGCTAAGTCATCACAGATACCATGCAAATGAGAGCAAGGCAGGAATCCAGAACCAGCAGCTTAAAACTACTTCAACCTGAATCAACACATCACAACCGGTGGACAAATAAAACGCACCCCCCCTCCCCCTCTCTCCCCCTCTCTCTCTCCCTCTCTCTCTCTCTCCCTCACACACACATTATAATCACTGTGCACTTGATGAAACCGACTTCGCATGAGTCAACAGTGCTTCTCTGGTTTGAAACACAGGCTGGCTGTGTTAGGAGCGCGGTGATGTGTAGTGACATTTAATGGTGAGACTGCACATTGTAACAAATGGAGGACTCCGTCTCCTGTGCTCGCACCTCCTGTCCCCAAGGGTTTCAAGAAAACTACAGTATCACATGTCAAAAGAAAAGTGTTTTGGTTTTTTAGGCATGAAATGTGCAGTGTGTAGTGTGTGTGTGTAGTTTTTCCATTCATTCATATCTGTGCTACAAATTTTAGTTTTTTTCTTTTTTTCATCTTCTACTAAATCTAAATGTGCAGTGTGTAGTGTGTGTGTGTGTGTAGTTTATCCATTCATTCGTATCTGTGCTACAAATTTTAGTATTTTTCTTTTTTCATCTTCTACTAAATCAGACATATTAATCATGGGAACATTTGATAGATTTCCTGCCTTGCGTCATTATTAGTTTTATTTCTGGTAATAATGTCTCTTGCTTTAAGTGAAGTATTTATGGCTTCTCCTGGTCTCTTTTACTGGTACTTGGACCAGTATCCATTCTGTGACATAGTTTATGGCAGCCTCGTTGTGGTAGACGTCCAACGCCAGGCAGCTTCCAGCATATGGATTATTTTGTTGTGTCATAAAGCTTTACAATATCCTGCATAAACATCACAATCATCTTGTCTTCACTCGCTCTATCTCACTGCCCAGACTCCTGCCAGCTGTGGTGCAGCAAAGGTGGAGGAATACTGTGGACGTAGTGCCAGGGAGCCGCCTGTAGAGGGTGGGAGTCATGATGACAAATGGCCATTGCTGAAATACATTTGCTGTAACAATTATTTTTGGCTTAGCTCAGAGGAAGATGATTAAAGCTCACTGTACTTTCTGCACACGGTTTGAAAGCACGGGATCTTAACCCTCACCCTCTGTTAAGCTTCAGGATGCGGAGTTTCCTCCTCAATCTGATTAGGGTTTGAATATTGTCCATACTGTATTTTCTGTGGTCTCCTCCCACAGTGCAGGATGAATCTAAGAGGACTGTGGAAGTGTGATTAGTTATTTGCCTATTTATTTAGCCCTGCCAGCAGGGGGCACATCTAATATTTACCCTGCCCTGCGCACTGCAAGAAAGTGAGCTTGACTTGACTCAGTCAAAATGAATTTGAATTGACTAAGTTAAATATATATTCAAGTGAACATGACATGTAAAACCCCCCACTCCTCCAGCCCATCCCTATTACTGCAACTTTCTATCCAGCCAGCAGCGGAAAATCAAAAGCGCGTTCTCGTGGCGGTGGCAGGTTCTTGTGTGCGCTCATGTGTCAAACGTGGGTTGTCACTTACGGTAGAAGACATATTCGGTGTAGCTGGACCAGATCTTGTCCTCAGTATGTTGGCTGACAAACGATGCTGTGACTGACGAGTTGCAGGCAACCATCTGAAAGCCGCACTCTGACAGCATGTCAAAAGCTCTCTCCAGGTGTTTGAACTTCAAATAAAACCGGGACGTGTATCGTTCCGGTGTCCTGTCCGGGTCCCGGCTCTCGTTCAGGGTCTCCCCAAAAACTTCCTTCGCCAGGGCCACTCGTCCGCATATAAGTATCCGCGGTACCCTCCTGAACTTGGCGTCAGTCTGACTCTCACGGCCCATGGTGCACGAGCCCCTGTAACCCACCGTGATGAAGCCGCTCTTTCTGTCCGCCGGGACCAAGGAGGGCGGCGGGCACTGGCGGTGGTCGCTGCTCTGAGACCCATCCTCATAGTCGCTATGGAAGTAGTCGTCCGGGCTTTGTTTGAGCTCCTCTGGGGTCAGCAGCTTCACCAGGTCGGGCAGCTGGAAGTACTCCGCCTCCTTCCTGAGCCTTCCCTTTTCTGGGAAGTGATCCGGGAGGACGACTTGTTTGTCTCGGAGATAGTCCAACACATACCGGAATAGAAAGCCGTCTCTGTCGATGAAAAAACGACCCTTGGGGTCCCTGGCCAAATCGTTGGATGGCTCCTTTTTGGAGGAGGAGAAGAGCTTACCCAGGAATGAATTGGGGTTGTTCACCAAAGTTGAATGACGCGTGTAATAAACCTGACCCCCTACGTTTAATTCAACCACATCTGGGAAACTGTTCTGAACTGATGATGCCTGGGGGTTAGTCCTACAGTTCCCACTCAGCGCCATCCTCTCCGACATTAGCAGCTACAGACAGGCTGTGCACACAGCAAGTGAAGTATGAGAAAAACGACGGGTCGGTGGTGGAAAAGTTACCTAAGCCGTGTCCTTGTTTAATCTGCGCCCAGGGCCGTCAACTTCATCTCAGTGTGGACAGTGTTCACTGATCCATGGTAGTCATTTTTACCTACGAGTCCTTAGCAGTTGTCGTATTGGGATGAAGATGGCAGTCCGGGGCGTCCCTCCGAGGACGTTGAATGAAACCGACTGTGATGGGGAGGATCGAAAGTCAGTCAGAGAAAAACGAGCAGTGTCCGCGTGCATCCAGGGCGCACGGCCGCAGCTGCATCCCCATCACTACAGGCAGGACACCACGGGACCAACTGAGCTTTGATGAGAGAGAAGGGCAACAAGAAAACTTGTCTCACTTGTCCTTTTGACTCCGAGTCCGTCAACCCCGCACCGACCAGCGAATTATAGAGAAACTAAACGATAAAAGTCCACAACTTCTTTAATAGTGTATTTCCGGACGGAAAGTGGAGCTGTTGTAGTTCCTGCTTCCACTTCCCTTGGACGCCACCAGGTTCTCCGGACTGAGGGAGCAGCAGGAGAGTGAGCAGAACGTCTTCCAGTGGCGAGAAACTTCGCAGAAAGAGAGATTGCAGACGTCAGCGCCGGTAGTCCTACAATGGTTGTGTCAGTAGCTTGTTACTACAAATGTTGCCTTTTTGGAAGTAAAGTCGTTTGTGTAATTTTTAAAGATTTTATTTTCTCCTTTTTTCGGAGTTTTCGACGATAGATCCGCTGCTTTTACCATGAGCTGTCCATGGTGCTGAAATCTCACCCCGGAGCTGGGTGGTTCCTTAAAGGCTGCCCCAACCAGTCGCTTCTCTTTCTCTCCCTCCCTCCCTCTTTCTTCCTCTCTCTCTCTCTCGCTCTACCCCCACCCTCTCTCTCTCTCTCTCTCTCTCTCGATCTCTGTCACACACACACACACACACACACACTGCTTCCCTGTGAAAAATATAGACCACATTCTGTATACCATGCCCATATAACTAAACATGTGATCGGTCCTACACAAATGAAATGCATTTCGTTACATATTTCAACATTATACATTGCTCTCAAACACATGCAAGTGTGATTTATGGCGCTGCCAATAGCGCCTCCCTCTGTTTGCAATGCGACTTGCCCCGAGTTATCATTTCAGTACCATGGATAGGTGCCAGCCGGTGGCTCGTTTGCAAACGTAGGACTGTGTGTAGTTGAGAACCGACTTTTTACCAATACGATTTCCTACAGAATGCGACATATTGCACATCCCCGTGCGTGTGTTTTTACTGACAGACTTAATTATATTTGTTGATGATTAATGAATGAATTTCTGCAACACCCAGAAAAGGCTGAAAAGAGACAATGTCACCATGCGCATAACCATATGATTTTGGAAATCATCAAATGTGTTGTTAAAATGCCCAAAAATGATTGAAGGAAACAATAATTATATCTAAAGTCATAATCACATCGTTTGGCCAGGAATGAAAGTGTCAATCCAGAATATGCATAAACGGTGCAAAAGCCACCATCTGCGATGGTATGTGGGTGAATCAGTAACCATGGTAAGGCAGATTGGCATGTACGTGAAGGTACCCTCGATACAAACCGCTTACATTAAAAATCTCAGAGTTATGTGCTCTCATCAAGACATCTTCATTGGCCTGTCATTGATTCAGCTGGACACAACCAGGTCCCATTTGCACTGATCAGGTTTATAGATACAGATTGGAGGTGCTTGATTGGCCTCCTGCAGTCAATGTCGTTAACCCATGGAAGATGTCTAGTGGCATCAGGAGGAGGTGAATCAGACAATGTTTACCGTGTGGACTGTTGAGCAGCCGAAGTCTTTCATATGGCAAGATCTGGCCCAGAAGGATTAGGTTGTATTAAAAAGGCAGCTGGCCCTGTGGTAAAACTTGGCTGCATTTCTGGAGTTTGTTTCAGGTATTAATTTTCAAGTTTGATTATGTGTCATTAGTAAAAAAATAAAAGCTGTTTAGAGAAGACACTGTCCTTTTGCATAATTAATAAAGTTGCATTTGCAATTTCAAATTACAGATTTTAGTTTGTCCCAACTAGAAATTGATCAGACAGATCATCAAACAGAACCTAAATGAAAAGGCATTGACATTGACACTGCATAGTTATCCCTCATCACCATTCATCATTTTTAAATAAGTATAGTACTGTATATGCATTTGGCCTGAAGTGGACTCGCAGCTGTAGCTGCCTCATAAATACACACACCCACTGCACTGCCGTCACGCTGCACTACTATTAAAAGAACAGATTATTGACCACCTGTAGGAAGTTTAACTTGTTTGGCTGGCACAACTCAATTCAACTGTGCTGCTTCTGTCTCCAGGGAGCACTTTTGGTCTGTTGGCATAAACCTTGCAAAACACACCGTGGAACTATCGCCGGTGCGGATGACTCATATGTGAATGTACCCTACGTTGTGCATGAAATTTGCTTATTTTATTGTTCAAAATACCAAACATATCAACTGAAATGTATTCACTCCAAAATCTGACTGAACACAGAAATACAGATATTCATAAAATACCCTTTTTTTAAAATGTAACTAGTTTAACACTTAATGTAAAGACAATTGACAGATTTATGTATTTATTTCAAAAACAACCTCAAACTTAAAGAAAAGTTTACTTTTTTTTAAATTTCATGTAAATTGCTTGACATAAATACACTCACAGTCCTGTTATTTTGCTCTGCAGAAAAGACTGCCAAGGAGATTTTTCGCAGGCCAACCACAGATGGTTGAATTAAACTACATACTCCTTCCGCCTCCATCTCTCATGACAAGAGCACTGAATAATGCCAGTGCTTGATGGTAAATCTGGGTGTACAGCCGGCAGACATCGGCTGGAAAATATTAAAAAAAACCATATATGAAAATCTATGCCTTAAGCCTTGATTTTTGTGTAATGTAAACTTTGACGCTTATTTATTATCTGTTGTTGTGTTTGCTGGCAAACAGTCTTGGTGCTTTCTTCGATCTTGGCAGGGAGAAATCTGATTAAGCAGAGGAAAAGAAGACAAAGCATGAATACAGTATTTTCTGGGGGGGTCTAACAAGGTAACAGGGGAAAAGGATCAAAACTGTCACACACATACAAAAGACCTCGCTGCAGGCATTTGGCTCATTCATTTACAAGCTTGCCACTCTCTCCATGTTTGGTCAAATTTTAGATGTAAAATTGAATTCTGACAATATGTCTAGAAATGTCTAGTCAAAAATCTCCTCATGGAAATCCGAAAAACATATATACGTATATTTATATATATATGCCCCAGATGCTGCATCAAAACAGTCAAAAAAGTTATTTTTAGCAGTTTTCAGGAAGGAAAAAAAACCCAGCTCATACAGCTTAATAGTCAGATACCACAGCTTGAACCAGACAGCTAAACTGAAGACGCAAACTACAGCACCACCCGGTTCGTATCACCGAATATATTAATATTATGATTTAATAACCAGGGAAGAAAAAAATAATTTGTTCTACAGCTCAAAAACAGTTGAGCAGGCTGGTGGACTAGCAGCATATCTCCTGTAAACGTTTTTGAAATTGTGATATTCCCTCCGCTGTGGAAAAGCAAAATTACCGTTTTTCTGGATTTATGTTATTCTGCATGCCGAGCAAAAAGTCACTTCATTTTTTTGTGTCACTCTGCTCCTCTGCCCCTCAATCCTGTCCTCATCCACTTTCTGTTCAGGCTGACACAGCTGTCTCTGCTAAAGTAGTTCCACTGCTTTCCCAGGAGCAGAGAATATTTAACTGAAAGCCCACTGAACATTAAGGGCTTTGGCAGCTGGAGCAGAGCAGGGCACTGAGGGACAGACGAGACACTCCTGCAGCCAGAATAAGGAGAAACCTCCAGGACACCATTGTGTCGCGGAAAGTCGAACGCCTCAGCTTGTCTTCTGGCAAAAACCAGCAAAGCTGTCATTGCACTCGCTAATGCTGACTGCAGGTGTCTCTCTGTATGCACCGTGCACTGTGTCCCCCGGTGAAGGAGTCAGGACTGAGGCACCATCACGGCAAAAACAACCAGGTGAGTATGGCTTCAGTCATTTCAGGTAGTTGTTGTAAATATTTCTTTTACTTTGTAAATAAGTCAAATTTAATGAATTGCGTCTTTATAGATGAATAACACATTAGTTAAATGTTTTAATTATTTGAGTATACAGTAGAACAACACTTTTTTCATGTGTCTTGATAGCCAATGACTGCAGGTCTTACAACCAGAAAACGAGGAAGATCGTTTCAGGTTCGAGATCTTGCCCTCCACTGCAGTGAGACTTGCTAATGCTCTATGGTTTGGACTCAGTGGCCCTATCTGAAACACAGAAGAATGAACTGCTGTAGACAAAATCAATTGTGCTACATTGGGGCATGTCGGAGATGAAGCCACCAAGAAGAGGTGAAGATCCCAAAGATTCCCTGGAAAAATATATGGTTCAGTGTGAAGCCACTTTAACTGTGCAGTAAACATCAAGCTTTGCCTAAATCCTGTTTGACAATTCAACACTCTACCTTTATCTCAGCCAGGTGCTGGTCATCAGCTGACCCACGACTCACAACTTCAAAGCCTGCTTTGAACTGTTACTGATTGAATTGAGACCCCTCATCGAGGAGCCCAGTGTTCAAAGGGAAGTGGAGGAAGGTCGACTGGACCACCACTCAAATGTACCCGCAATGTTTTTAGCATGCAGGTAGGGGTATATATATATAACACCTCGAATACAGGATCAGGATCAGAGAAGAACCAGCCAAGCATCGGCCCCCGGACATGACAGCAGGTCTCTGAGGCCACATGGCATGAAAGAAGAATGCCTTCGCTTTGTGTGCTCTCAGAGAAACACAGGAGACTGGCCCAAGGTATAGGAAGAGAGAAGAATTCCTGTGCATGACTGGACACTGGTCTGTTCACTGAGATTCACATATCTGTGTTACAGAAAAGAAGAACGCCTCTGTGAGGAGCAGCACCTGAATATACTGAATATACTGAAAGAACGAGGAGAGGACAAGAAACACCTGGGTGAGGTTGACATATCTGTGGTTGCTCAGCTTTTCATTGACATATACTGTATATACATATATGTATGTATTTATATATGTATGTATATAAAGCCATCAGTAGTCTGTCCAGAGCAGGGGTGCCAAACATACGGCCCATGGGCCAAAACCGGTCCACTAGGGTGTTCAGTCCGGCCCGCTAAAAGATACACAAACTTTTAGTATATTTTTTGCAAAATGATATTCAAAAGTATCTCATATACTTATACTTTTAAACATGAAAACTAAGGGGAAAAAACATGGACTTGCTATTTATAGTTAATGATGTTATGATTGTACTGGTCCAGCCCACTTGACATCTAATTAGGTTGTATTGACCCATAAACCAAAATGAGTTTGGTTGGTCTGGTCTAAAACCTTGTTCCTTCAGCAGCTTCAAGGGTAACCAGAGCTGCTCCAGCCTCATCTTGTTCCTCAGCCGATTATTCTATTATATTGAGGCAAACTTATCAATGTTCTTCATGAATCTTCTCATTGGGTTTTTTTATTGGCTGGTAGAGTCATCTTTAAATTTCAACAAACATCAGCTGTCTGTCTGAAATGTCAATGTCAATCCTATGATTGCTCATCATTTCTAAGAAAAAAAAGTAAAAAAAACACTTTTTTTTTTATTCTTTTAAACATATTTGATTTCTATGCAGGTCTTCCAAACTTTAACTTTTTTTAATAATTAGAAGAGTCTCTCTTGTGCTTAGTTTAACTCTGGCATGTCTGCTCTGATTGTGTATAGAATTGAATTGATCGTTGTAGGTTACTGGCACATACACAATTTAAAAAAAAACAAAACTCTGCACAATATCCCTGGGTGATATACGTCTTCACAACCTACCTGTGTCAACTTACATTGTTTTCTTAGAAGAGGAAGCGGAGGAAGATAATAAAGAAACGGCATAACACTTCTAGTTCTGAAGGTCCTTGTTTCTTTTCTCAAAGATTTGCAGGCTTAATAAAAGTCACTCAAGAATTTTTCACTTTACACTGTATTCACTGGTAGAGATATACAGTGACCTACATTTCTCTGATAATGTGTATATCCACGTTAATATGCAGAGACTAGATTTGTATCACCTCTGGAGAAGAAAACTGAATTATTTTACAGACCACCCTGTAGCGTTTCTGTCACGGTAGAATATGGCAGTTATGTACTGTACCTTATTACATTCTGAGGATTTTTTGGTTCAGAGAGAATTTTTTCTGTTAGTGGATCCTGTGGTCACATAAAACCGTCCACAGATACAGGGTCTCTAATAGTGCTAGATCAGTGGTTCTCTAACTGTTTGATGACCAACATTAGAATATAGCAGCATAGGCCTTCACTATTAGCTTCCACCACACAGGGGCGATGTTTATAAAGGTGTTTATGCTTAAATTTTCTATTAATTGTGCATGGTATGTTTCAGATTTATTCAATTGAAAATGTAAATGTGGAAATTGGAATTTTCCCCACGTACCACCGGTGGTACGCCTACCACAGTTTGAGAACCACTGTACTAGATCATTTGAGCATATAGCATATGTTACAGTTTGAACAGATATACTGGCAACTGCATTTACGACAATATTGTTTGTAGTTTTTTTCATTGTTTTAAAATACATTTTAATTTTATTATCATATTTTAATAGGTTAAAAAAGCACACACATATTTAAATGTTAAAATACATATCATTAATATATATTATTTTAATCATTTATATTAAGAAAGTAGAAAATCTCAATAAATTACATCTTGGTTTTTGCAGCGCTCGCTGTATTCCGAGTTCAATTGTGGTTTAGTCGTATCTGAACAACTGCAGTCCATCCTCTGTCTGTGCACAACACAGCCGTGTTCTCCAGGTCCAATGGGAACTCGGCCCTGTTGAGTTGACAAGCTATGCAGATGAGGTGTTGCTTAGCATCCAGTCTCCCTCCACCAACATCAAGGCCTTGTGGGAACGCGGGAGAAGTAGTTAGCTGTGAGAGTTTACCTCCACACTCAGCGTTCCTGGTGTAAGACGTGCGTGTGTCGTTTCCACTGATCCTGTTTGTGTCTCTTGATGGAGTATAAATATTCAGAAATCATCTGAACACCCACTGGAGTTTGTACAGATTTTTTTTCCCACTCTGGGACCTACAGTAAATGTTGTTGGATTATAGATTTTCTTAAATGTGACGAGCTGATAATTAATCTGGTTGTGTTGTTTGCCTTGTCACGATAGTATGTCCTCTATAAAAGAGAATACCCCGCTCCAGGATTTATTTATTCATGAAAATAGCAGCTTCCTTTATATCTTTAATTTAAATCTTTACACTTTCTTTCTGTATGTAAACAAATCAGTCTTTGTACAATTTTTTGAGATGTCACTCACACAGCCTCTTGGCCTCACCACAGGACTGAAATCAAGATTCTTTTTAATGTTCTTTTCAGTTTCAGGGGTGTTAGGAAACACGTCATTGAACAAGTTCCAAAATCTTCCGTAAGGATCATTTTAATGGGTTTCCATTCAGGTTTGGTTACAACTTGGGTTAAAACACTACAAATAGTGATTTAATAAAAAATCAAATCTTTTTGGAACACCTGGCAGACATGTCCTAATATGTTTTAATTTTAATTAAAACCCATCACCTTTTGAAAGGAACGCATCTGTCTTAAAACGTTATGACCTTCTCTCATACGATAAAGTATGAAGAACAATGAACCGGAGACCTTATACCTCCGTATAAAACCTTATAATTTTTTCTACCTTGACTTCACAGCAGCAACGTGTGACTGAAGTGACAGATGAACAGTTGGTGGGTCTCAGCTGCCGCCTGTGATTTTATCAGAAAACCAATAGAGAGTCAGCCACCCCGCCAAAACATGGCCACCATCCCTTATGTTCACGTATAGTAATGTAAAAATATAAACATTTCACTGAGACGTGTGCTGAGAATAACCGTAAAATATATTAAATATTCAAATCTGGGCTAATGTCTAGGCTCATCCTTTTACCACTGACTGGAAACAGTCACAGGGGCAGGCGCTCCATCATTGAATGTCTGATATTTCTCCTCCACTGACAGTCGTTTAAATAATGCAACAATGCAGCGGCGCCTTAAGACACTGTGCATCCAGTCAGAGCGACTGTGGGCTGTCATTTTCATCTCTGCTCCGTTCTAAAAAGAAGAACTTTGCTGAAGGCGGCGAGATCGCACCTGATCTCTCAGGGCCGTGACAGGTGGAGCGAGTGGGCCGACCAAACGAGCAGAACAGAAGAGATTGCGCTGCTTTATCATAACTTCTAAAACTTTTAGAATGAGTTTAACCTCATAAACAGATGATATAAACCCATGTGAGAGAATCCGAGGGAGTCGTTTTACAGCAGCGAGCAGCCAGACTGATGATGAGATACCGTCGGCTGGCAATTCTGCCAGAGTCCCATAAGAAATCTCTCCCAAGTCTGGAACCCTCCTTTGCTGTTATCAAATCTTTTGTTTCAGTTTGATTGAATAATACACTCTAAGACGAGAGATGCTTCAAAAAGAGAGGTTTGAGTCGCCGTGTGTAGCTTTAAGAAGAGTGTTTTTAACTTTCCTTCTACTTTTCTTCTTCTCATTTATCCTCATCTGCTTTTCCCAGAGGAGGAGTTGGAGCCAATCACCTCTTCACTTTCACTTTGTCCTCGACTTTCAATCAGGATTTGCCACAGCTCGTCCACAGTTGGATTTGATTTGAATCTTACGACGAATTTCACAGAGCATCGACATTCATTTAAGGTAAAAAAAAAATATATATATATATTTATTACATGTAATTTATACATGTAACATGTATTGTAAATAAAGTGCCATGCAGACTGATTTAAATTATATCTTAATCCCAATAACACTTCATCCTTTCTATGTGGCCCAGTTCTGAGTGTGTCTTTGTGACCCCTGCATAGTAACTTTTTGTGTTACAGAATACCATTTAAGCAATATGTGAAGATAAAGATGAAGTAGAATCATCAAAACCTGTGTTCATACCATCACCTGCTGGGGAGTGGGAGGATCCACATGTTTTGTTTTCTTTCAAACTTTTCTTTCAAAATAAAATGTAGAAAAGACTGAAAGTGGCCACTCAAGGACATAGATATTCAAGGGGAAAACAAAACCTTTTTTTTTTTATCTGCACTGATTGAATTTGGCATGAACTCTGATGTTTAAATCGATATCATTTTATCAATGTACAACCGGTGCTGGACTTTGAGAAATATAGGATTTTAATTCCAACATATAGATTTATGCTCTCGGAAATGAAATAAACCACTGACTAAGACGGCGTTGTGTGGAACGATATTGACAAATTTGGTAAATCGCTCAGCGGTAACACCTGATGTGAAACCGAAACGTTAAAAAAAGTCCAGCATTGCCTAACTCACAGTGAAGGAAAGCAGTACGAGCAAACTCTTTCACAAAAGTTGAGGGTGAGAGAAACTTGGCTGAGAGGCTGTACAGGTGAGGAAGACATGGAAGAGCAGAGGCCGTGCAACTGTTTACAATACTAGCCTTATTATAGCAGCTTCTAAATCTGTTTTGACAGGTAGTACACTCACGGTGCAGTCCCCGATGCCAGCCAGAGGCAGACAGGTATGTGGTGGTGAGACTCCACACTGTACTCCCCAGAAAGCTTTCAAACTGTGTTAGTTTTTAAGGTTTTGTAGGAAAGGCGAAAGGCATTAAGTGTTCGTAAATGATGAAACTGACATCAAAACTAAGAGTTTCTGTGTATGTGTGTCTGTGATAACTGTCATTTTAGGAGAAAAACAAGTTGAATCGTGTAGTTAGAAGTTCCTTTCAGAACAAACTTTAAAAACTTTATTCCCTGTCTGTGGAAAAGACCACACATTAGAACCAAACGCTTTAGTTTAAAAACACAGTTAAGCAATGACAAGGCTGCTGCCGGTTAGGAAATTGAATTAGATGATTTGACAAAAAATTGAATCAGGTAATGGTTTGAGGAAATGTGTGCATCTGTTTCTGACGTAAAGCCAAAGCTGCGCACGCTTTGTGTGCATGTCAAATGCCAAGGGAGAAAAATGACCTCTCGTTTGTCTTTCTGAAAACCCATATTGAGCTTTTTTTGTCTCTCTATGATCGTGTCAAGCAGATAAGAGTTCTCTTAATTAAAGGAATGGTAGAAGTGAGATTACAACAGTAGGAGAAATTCAGAATTTTTAATCCAGTCATCCACCCAGGCAGTAACACATAGCAGTGCATTGCCCTAAATTCAATTACCCTCTCTGGCACTTTTCAATTTTCCCTCATTGAGTGGATTAAGAAGAAACATGTACTTCAGCTGCGGATATGATTAAAAGTCTGTGGAAAGATGGCGGAACCAGAGGGGAGGAAACTCATGTCTGCTGGTGTTTTGTGCATGAAATCATTTACGTTAAACCATGGTGAAAACAAAGAAATGAACTTTCCTTAAACCATGGTGAAAACAAAGAAATGATTCACGTACAGAACAAAGATGCATTCACACTTTTCTTTTGGTCGTTTTCCAAAGAGTTTTTTTCACCCTCACAATTTAAAGTGTCATAAGTTTCCTGACCCTCGGTGTCGACAGACATTTCATTTTAGTACAATCTTAAAGGGATGGTTTTATATATTTGGCCTCTAGTTGACAGCAGAGAGGAGAAATGGTTTTTACAAATGACCAGAAGCTATAAGATGAGAAGAAAGTGCTCCTGAACTTTCACACTGGCAGTGTCTGAAATAATACAGAGACTTTTCAGTTTTTTTAGTGAAAACTACAGCCACAGTAGTTACAGTAGTTTGTTGTCACCAACGTCATCTCCTCGGTGTGCACTGGAAATCCTCAAAGAGAGATCATTTGTGGAAAAGGAGGCCTGGTGCTGTGCTGTTGGACAATCCATAGAGAAGGCAGAGATAAAATATCATTGTGAGCCCATGCACCACTGGAATCTACATCTATGGTGGCGAGTTTCTTTGCCAGTTAATCAGTTTGATGATGCTAACAGAAAGCCTAATGTTTTAGTTTAAGTCTCACTGGGACAGTGACACTCGACAGCAGATTGAGAGTTTTCATTTGTTTACCAGGAAGTTTACCAACATTTCTAGTAAACTCAGTTTACTGACATTTACTGTTGTTGAAGATATTACAGCATTTTATGTTTTTTTTAAGTCATTCATTGGGCTGCTTTCATACTGACATTAAAAACCTCTAATATGTTCCTGCTTCCACTGTGTAGGTACGGTTACTAAATAATAAACAGTTGACAAACCTTGACTATACAGGTCACGTCAACGCCTGTGGTGTTTTCTCCAGCAGAGGTCACCAGCCAATTATCTAACATTGTTTGTCATCATCAGAAAGAAACTGTGCATGTAATAATTTTGGGGGATCATTTTTAGAGCAGCACTCCCACACAGGCAGAGTGATCAACATGCTCCTTGGCTTCCAGATGAAAGAGACTACCTTTGTTCTTTCCTGAAGCTCTGAACCTGTCCTGTTAAATAATCTACTCTCTCAGTGCCTGTTCCACCCTGGTTTGTACTGATTGTGAGTCAGAGTACAGCAGATCCTCATATCTATGAAAGTCCCAGAAACACAATGTATAATTTCAGAAGTTATACACGTGCACTTGTCATGGGTGAGCTGGTCACAGAGTGACTCAGACATTCCTGGGCAAATGGCTTTTTAATGTATGCATTATAATGGAGAGACCAGCTGATCAATATTGTAGCAACAGCATTGGCCAGACCTTTTTTTTTTTTTTTTTACCTTTAATTACTTTTGTATAGCATAGTTTTTAAGTCTCAACTTACAAATTGGGAAGGTGAATGAGCTTTTCACTCCTGACTTTATTATTCAAGTCCAATTTAAAATATACTAAATATTAAAGGCACTACCTGAGGAGAAAGTCAAGGTAAACTTAAAATTTTAGATATTTTATTTAAAAATATTCTAAAGTCTGATGACAAAACGAACATTATCGTATATGAATGAATTTATACAGTTGCCTTTGTTGATAAAGTACATACACTTTGTTTACTATGGGCCAGTGTATAACCATAGTAACCCTAAATGGCCTATACAAGGCTATATAAAGTAAACAAAATGCAGACTTGCAATTTAAGTGTAGGCTCATCAAACATTGCAACCATATTCTATTTGATAAAAAAATAATAATAATAAAAGAGACGAGGCTATTCATCATTTACTATTGATTTATAAAAGCAGAGGCTCGATTTCGTGTTACAATGACAATAAAGACTATAAAAATAAATAAAAAAGTAAAAAAAAAAAAACAGTCCACGTCGTACCGATTTTGATTTAAAAAAAAAAACAGCCCACGTCGTACCGATGTTGATCCATAGAGGGCGCTACAGTTTATAGAAAAAAAATTTGCTTTGGTTCCTTGCAGCTTCCGGTGGTGTACGTATTACCCCGGAAGATAATCTTTTCTCCTGACACGTAGCAGCCGCAACCCAGTTGGTATAGTCCTCGGCAGATTAAAAGTACATCGCAGGTAACTTTTGGTGTGTGTGTGGTTGGTTATGTCTGAATAATGAAAGATTTTTGCAAGAAATACAACTAATCCAGCATAAAGTTTACCGCTTGTGTCATGCGCAAAGCTTGTTAGGCACGTCTCTCAAACTTAGCTGTTCTGCAGCTAGCTTTAGCTATGTAGCATAGTTTAATATACGTGAGGTCGTGATATATTGTTTTGTTGCATTTTGGTCAGTTTCAATACATTACCAAAAATGTCGTGCAGTTGTTTATTTTTGATAAAGATGTTAAAAACCTTTCTCTGTGTGTGGGTTTAGTCACGTTAGCGTCTTTAGTTCACCGATAAGTGAAGCCGGTGGTTTGGAGTTGCTCTTATACATGTCCACGTCCTCGACTTGAACACAAACATGCTTTTGTTCTTGTCTAAAATGTTTGAATTATTCCGGTAACCTCGTTTATTTATGACTCGCTTTTCTTATGTTACCGCGCTCCACATATTGTTATTGGATGTTGAAAACATTGTCACGTTCATCGTTATCATGAAAATACGAGGGTAAGTTGTGTTGTTTTTCAACAACTGATGGTTATGTATGCTGAATAATGTAATATTTCAGACATTGCGGGTGTTGGCAGTGATGTTTCAGTATGTTAGAAATAAATAAAAATTAGAACAATAAGACCAGTGTTTTGTTTTGGGCAGCCGTCACCACGAAATAATCGCAGATTAATTTTTACAATATTACTACTATGTTAAGAAAATACACCATTGATATTTGTTTCTTTTAGGTCAATGGTAAATAATCTTTGTAAATGATCCCAGCTGCTTGTGTTTTCATTGTTCTGAGTTTGGTTTTGTGGCATGCAGAGATGTCGGGGTTTGACAACTTCAACACAGACTTTTACCAGTCAAGCTACAGCGTAGATGACCAAAATCAGGCTGGCTACGGCAACACAGAAAATCAATATAATAAGTAAGTGAAAAATACAAGTACAAGTTATATTTCCTTTTCCTTGTACTTTCTCAGCTACTAACAGCTACCTGGTTTACTAAAGATAACACATTTGGATTGTTATTTTGAAGAATTGTTGAAATGATAAATTTTAAAGAAAATGTGTTTTCCAGGCAATACAGTCAGTACGACTACTCCCAGCCTATGGGGTACCCATCTCCAGGGATGATGCAGCCTCAACAGCCATACACAGGACAGATCTTTCAACCCACACAGACCTATACTCCGTCCCCATCACAGTCTATGTATGGCAGTAGCTTCGATGATGAGCCACCGCTGCTAGAAGGCAAGTCTTTAACTTTACTTAATACTGTACTAAATCGAGGTTTCAAATGTGATGTTATTTTTTGTCTCTCTTTGTTATTTTGTTGTCTCAATTGTTGAGGGTTTTTGGAATAGATGGAAATATGCATGCTGACCACCAAGCACATTTTTTTAAATGTCATTACTAAGAGAAAGAAACCTGAGGTGCATTTTTAACCGCAGTTGTTTGTGGATGTCGTTCCTCCACCGCCACTGTTTTCTCATGCTGTAGTTTTTGTTTTGTCTTTTCCTTTTTTTATACTGTAGAATTAGGGATCAACTTTGATCACATTTGGCAGAAAACTCTGACAGTGCTCCACCCAATGAAAGTAGCAGACGGCAGCATCATGAATGAAACAGATCTGGCTGGACCAATGGTCTTCTGTTTGGCCTTTGGAGCTACGCTTCTTCTGGTAAAACCCTATATTGACTACTGGTGATATTTGTCAAAATACAATATACACATCAAGTTTTGCACTTACTAATACAATAAAATTAAATAATGATTGTTTTAGGCCCCATGCATATTCATTTAACTTTTTACAATAATTTTTAGAAAATTATTTTTGTCAACCTGTGATCAGACTGTTTACTGTGTTACTGTTTACATTTATTTTACTCTGTTTACATCTTCACCTTAATGTTGCTTTCCCTCTCACAGTCAGGTAAGATCCAGTTTGGCTATGTCTACGGCATCAGTGCAATCGGCTGCCTGGGCATGTACTGTCTACTTAACCTAATGAGTATGACGGGCGTCTCCTTCGGCTGCGTGGCAAGTGTCCTGGGTTACTGCCTCCTCCCCATGATCCTCCTCTCCAGCTTTGGAGTCATCTTCTCTTTACAGTGAGTAGGAAACCAGTAAGAGTCACTGTTAATTTCTAAACTATACAAGGAGAAAGTTAGACTTGTTTAACAAAATATGTGAACTTGTTCTCTACTGAAATTGGTTTCTTATTTAAAACAGCTCCAAATCACTGTTAAAACATTAGATGACATCATGATGTCCCCAATTCTTAGTAGTAAACTATGATCCTTTCACAGTTTATTCATTTGTTTGGTGTACATGGCGTTGAACAGGAAAATGCCGAGCACCACCTTCACCAAAACGAAGCTGACTTCAGCAGTAATAGCCCATGAGTAAAGCACTTAAACTTTATGAGGTGATAAAATGTAGACATTGTTGATTGACTGAATGTTGCTCTGAGGTTTAAGACACTTAAGGATATTTATCATTTAGGGTAAAGTGACAGCAAGAGGTAGACTGTTAATGTGCATCAGCCTCAATTTCTGAAGCTGGGGTGAGAAAAATTAATTTAAAGTGGTCTTGAAATACTTTAGAGTGATATGTACAGGATTAAAAATTGACATCACATTAACAGTAAAGAAATGGATTTTTATAAAAGGCTGATTTCCTGTAGGACAGTTGTGATTGATGAAGATCATTTTCCATTTTCTTTCTTTTTTTTGTTTCTTTTTTTGTTTGCACCCTCCAGGGGCATGATGGGAGTCATACTAACAGCAGCAATCATTGGCTGGTGCAGCTTCTCAGCCTCAAAGATCTTCATCTCGGCTCTGGCCATGGACGGGCAGCAGCTGCTGGTGGCCTATCCATGTGCTTTGTTATATGGCGTCTTTGCTCTCATTTCAGTCTTCTAAAAATAAAACAGCAGCTTAAAAATAACTGCGCTCCAGACTCTGTAACATCACTCCAATTAGCATCACTAGCATCATAATTATCATAATTAATGGCTAGTTGCAGTGCTGTTACAGAAAACTGAGAGCTGCAGTCAAAAATGATACCATGGGTTTATTTTCTTTTATAAGCCACCGCTACTCTCTAGGTTCCAACTTGACTGTCTGCAGGATGGAGGGCTGGAGGGTAAGAGTGTCCTTACTTTCCAGCTAACTCCTGTCATGCATACAAAAGGGGAAGGCTGTTGCTCTCCTGCGGACAATTTTGGACTTGAAACAGCCTGATACAGTTCAATGATTTTAAAGGACATATTGCAAAAGGAAGTACTTCTCACACATCACAATCCTACAGAAGATTTATTCAATTTGGGCACGCGGAAGCCAGTGAAAATAACGCGTGTCCTGTTGTTTGCTTGGCCTTTGTGAACAATCTCTGTCCAATCACCAACTACGAGACAAAGGGAAGGACCCACTCTCGTTCTGCACAAAACTGCAGCGTCTCACTCCACTACAAAAGGCTGGAGTTTTTGTTGAGGATCTGATCTTCGATATGACAACCTGCTGCTTTGCTTCATCCTCTTATGAGTAGTTTTATTAAAAATGTTATGAAATTCATTCAAGATCATCATATAAGAGACACCATTACTGTTTTGGCACAGGCATACAATTCGCATCTCTTACATTTCTTAAAACATTATTTTATTGTCCCCTCTCAGTGTATGCTTTGATGTCTCGTCTGTTCCATGTCTTCTGTCTTCTTCAATGTACATTAAAATTGTCTTTAAAGGTTTATTCTTGTGATTTTTTTTACAGGCAGCATTGACTGTTTAAGCAGATCAATGTAGGTAACAGACAACATGAAATCGCACTGCTTCTTTGAACACCAGCGTCACTTACTTTGGAGAACTCATAGGTGGGTTGCACCACAGAAATGTCCCAAAGCTGTTGTGTAGAATGTTTTCATCTGCAAGATAATTGGTTGAATGTTACTGATGTATGTTTTTCTTCTGTCCTGCAGATGGTGCTGTAAAAAGTTTGAATTGCCTTAGGCATCGAATACTGGTGTAGCATATATGAATAATATGAATGTATAATTTATATTTTCTTGTTTACCTGTCAAAATTGCATTAATTTGAGTAATTTTCAATTGAGGTACAGTTTTTCTCTGTACCTCAATTGAAAATTGTTTTATAACATGGCAGTTTGATTCACAGTCTACCCCACTGCCCCACCACCCGTCTCCCCTTCTTTGTCAAGTGAACACATTCACAAATAAATATTAGCAAGAGTAAGATATGAGACGATAAAGAGAAAACAGGTAGGAGACAGCCTCCCTGCACCGGAGCAGGTCACAGTATTCTCCAGGTCATGCAATAATCTGTGGAATTCTGAATACTTCATTTGGTTGTTACTTGTGAAGTTATTAACGAGTTATTTTAATCTCTGCAGTTTGATGAGTCTGCTGCTGCAACACCAGAAAGTTGCATTTTACTGTAGTCATCTGGTAAGATTGAATGGACGTGTTAGAATGTTGAATACAGAATCTGTAGGCTGTCAGGTACGAGTGGCATCCTTTTTCTTCAACCTGTTTTGTTTTGTTTGTTTTTTGCACACGCATCTGAAATGCATGTTAAGTGGATGTAAAGCAGGATGAGATGAATAATTCAGGTACTTATTCATAGAGTGGTTCTTCCATTCCAGCCAACTCAACATTAAGAGCATATTTTGCATTTGAAACGAACCCGTTTCGAAGCAGTCTGCTTGTAAATGCCACTCTTTTATACAGTAAATGGTCAGCTCCTGTGTACTGTGTACTAATACATAATACTATTTTTTCTTTTTCTAACCTGTCCTTTCCATCAATTGGGGAAAACAATAAGAGGTCTGATATTTATTTTTTATTACTGTTATTAACAACGCTAATGTTAACAAGAATAGGGACAGTGGTGACTTCATCTGAGTCAACCAATAATATTAACTACTATTTATTAATAACAGACAATAAAACCACCTGACCTAATTTCATTAGGAGACAATTCTGCGAGCGATGCAGTTCCTTTTAAGTGGCTTTTTGTTTTCTTAAGCTGTTTTTTTTTTGCCCAGTCAAGAATCTGTCAGATACCAGAGAACAGGTTGTGACATCAGTAAACACTCTGATGTTCATTTCAGAGTCCATAGAAAAGAGATTTGCAGAATTACAGATTTTCCAAAGCACTTCTCCTGGCCTTTTGACTGTCTAATTCACAGGCTCCCGTCTCTGCTCTTAGTGCTGACGTAGAAAATCCTCATTTATTCATTTTCTACCATGTTATCTTTTTCAGGGTCAGAGTGGAGGCTGGAGCCAATCCCTGCAGTCATTGGCTGAGGGTGGACAGTATTTGCAGTCCGTCATCTATAAAGAGACACATATTGTCACTTACAATCACACTGGTGGTCAGTTTACAGTATTATTAATCTGATCCAGTGTGTTTTGATATCAGTAAATATGTGTAGCTAAGGAAATAATTTCCACACTCCAGATTTAAAGAGATTAAGCCGGTTGTTGTGAAGCAGGAGCATTAACCACTTCCTCCACTGTGAAAAATATGTATGTTTATGAGTGGGAAAAATGTATTTAAACATTAGCCATTTAATAGAAAATATGTACAATAGTACATAAAATTAGTACCTGTTGCAGAGATTCTGCCTCTGTGATTTACTTTTCGAGTCAAACAGGAAGAAGCATATTAAAAAGGAGTGATTGCCTCAGCTGACCAATGTTTTTGACAGTGTAACTTCCTGCAATTGGAGTAGGTTGGGAGTCATTCATGCTGCGACTGTTTTCATTAACTGCGAGTAAAAATAATACCAATGTTGAACTTCAAAAAGGTTTTACTGACGTTAGTAGTAATTTATTCATAATTGTTTCTTTTTCTTTAGCTGGTCTGTTGAAGTGCTATAAACGGCTCCAATACCAGATGTCTGGAAAAACAGGAAGACAAAACGGGCCGCATCTTCCTGTTTTTCATAACCTAAAACAGTCCTACCAATTTGCCAGCAGAGGGCAATGTAGAGTCAGTGTACGTGTCATCTTTTCTTTCCCCTCTTCCCAAACCTGTCATTTCTAATGGACCTAATGACATTTGCCCCCCCTTCCTCTCCATAACTTTATTAACCTACATGAACAATGCAATGTTTGTTAATGTAATGTAATGTTGTTGTACATGGGATTCATATACATGTCGTTTCCAAAATTCGACACCTCCAAGTTTAAAAATAGCTGCCTAGTCGGATGGTCAAGTGCCTGTGTATATGGGCCAGTGTACCATTATGTTATCTAATGGAGGATAATCTCTCATCCATCTGCCTGGCCTGAGTCATAGCCTGACTGTGGAGAAGCAGCTAATGATGAAATTGTCTCCCGCTCTGCTTGGAAGGAAAACATTGGCTTAGACAGACTCCTGTCACAAAGGCTGAGACAGTGAGAGGCATTTCATTATTGGTTCTACGTTACCAAACCATAAAACAAACGTTGTTTATTAATGTTTATTAATTGTCAATCTTTCTCTGGGAGCTGCCGCGTTTTGGCCACTCTAGGTTAGTGCTAACAAAGTACTTCGAAGTAGATTTTGCTGCATATTGTTCCAGGAAAGCTGTCTGTCATTTTAGGGGAGTGACATTCACAGGCAGTGAAGTAGAAACGGAGGTCATTATGGCTGTAGTCACAGCGCTGTTTATAATTATGGGCAAATGAACAGGCAGAAATGTGATAGTGAATAAAACTCTAAATCCTCCTGGCAGCCTGAATACACTGCTAAAGAAACTTGAGATGGTTTTTTATGATAAATGTAGTTTTCTTTCACTGTGATTCACGTATTTATTTCAAATGAGTTTGTCATTTTACACAGTGACATTCCTTAAGAATAATATCCCATCATGCCACAGTCATACATTAATACTAACAGTATGTGAGTTCTTTAGTGGTTCTTTGTTAAATATAACGGTGATATGGTTAATATCTGTTCTTCTGCTTTATCTTTTTCTTACACCATGAAAATTAACACCCAGAATCCTTTTGTTTTTCCAAAGTTGTCTGTCAGGAGGGAGACAATGACGTGCACTGACCAACGGCCCGTGAAGCTGCAGCCAACCCCACTGCATTTTGGGTCACACGTGGAGTCAAAGCTGTACAGGTCAGTAGTCTATTAAAATACATACCGTTGTAGTACGTGGTGTACCTTGGGTCTGTAAAATGGTGGCCTGGTAGTTAAGGAAGTGTACTTATGTCCAGATGTCGCAGGTTCAAATCCACCACCTTGCCTGCTCATGGGTTAAATCTGGAGGACAGAAAATAAAATGTTCAGTTGTGAATATCCTGGCATTGCTGTTGTGTGAAGCCAGTGTTTTTTTGTCCTTGATCACTCAGACATTGTTCACAGGTTGTTGTTTTGTTTGTTTTTTTTACATAATGCTCTTTGACAAAATTGTTCCTTGGGGACTAAAAAATTGAGCAGGTGCGTCTATTTTTAAATAGTGGACAACTACAGGTGTTGCTGAGTGGGGAGCAGATGTGACCCAGGTAGAACGGATCCGAGCTCCAAAACATCCTAGGGCTGATGAGGGATTTAACTTCACTGAGGGAGCAGACGAGTGACAGGTGGAAATGTAACGATTGCTATTCAGCAAAGCAGTGCTGCCTCTTAATGCATCTGCAAAGCCAACAGCACATGAATATTCACTCAGCAACTGTTAGCACAGCACTGAGTGTGATTTGCTTTTGCATTTCATTAGGCTAATTGTCCCCTCTCATGGTTCTGTTGACTCTTCTAACAGTTGATTCAGAACTCGATGAACTAATGCAAACACTGGGCGATGAGCAGAGTCAAGCCAAAGGGAAATGAGCAGTGTGTGTGTCTGTGTGTGTATTTAATGTATGCAATGTTTGGTGAGCATTAAATTTTCTGCTTTGCCTCCACAGGGTGCTGTATTTGCTTAAATTTTCTGCTTTGCCTCCACAGGGTCCCAGGAGGAAGACCAGCAAATACTGCGTTTTGCCTCGCCTCCTCTGATCTGTTCTGACAAATCCATCAATGACAACTACAAAGCAGAAGAGCGGCTATCAAGTTTGTGCTGTGCGACCTGTGACCTGTGTCTTCAGTGTGGTGTCACCCAGCTCCACGTCCACGCCCTGAGCCTCCACCGGTTGACGTCATCACTTGACTGGTCACGTCAGGTGTCAGGTATTGTGGCAAAGCAACTTAAGGTCAAAACCTCGTACAACCTGAAAGGTACTTTTAACCAGGTCGCCACTGTTTGAAATAGCGAAACCAGACAAACAAATATATATATTTTTTGTAATAGCACTGATGTTTACTTTCAAGATGACTCGTTCTTCATTCAAAAACATTCAAAATTGACTAATCTTCACTACGTTTGTAGACGGAGACTCACACATATGGACACAGACGTGTATTGGCAAGTGTAGATAAAGTCATTTCAGTTCTAAAGAAAATGAAACCATAAACTTGAAACTGCTTCTCCCAGCAGACAGTGTAGCATGTCAAAACATGACAAGGGCCATAACTATTTTATTAATGGTTGTGTTCAGTCTGGGTGTTCCCAGATAAGAACGGGTTCGATCAGGTTATGATTGCCAAAGTCGGATGTATGAATGAATGTGTAAAGCTGTTGTCACGAGACAATTTGAACTCTCGTCGCAGTTTTCACGTCTGTTGAACAGATTGTGTTTTCTCAAAGTGGAGCAGAACAGTAAAGTTATCTCGGTGTAACCGACCAACCTGTGGCGAGTTGTTAGTGCCTTCGCCTTACAGCAGAAGGTTTCAAGTTCTCCCAGTGTGTATTTGTGAGGGGTTTAATGTGGGTTTGCATAAGACCTAGAGTAGATCCATATGAATATATACCTTAAATACTGCTACCGCTACTACAAGATGATATGTGTTTACCAAAGAGAATATGTACACCCTGATCCCGTCATATATTTGTGCTGGTAGGTTATCCGACATGATCAGAGTGGTTCGCGCATGTAAAAGCTTAGCCATTAGGCGTGTATTATACTGCCTTCACCCTGCAGTGAGTTGTTCTGCCATCTGAATTCCAATCAACCTGTGTTGGACTACAGGGTCACTAATTAATGTGCAGAGACAGAGCTGAATGAATTCCTGATGTTTAGTGAATAATATAATGTACCAAAATACAAACTAATTATACCGTGCGCTGCCGAGTCTTGTCAGAGAATGTCTTCATATTTTTTTTTCCTGATTAGTTTTTTTGGAACAAGCACATCAAGTGCTTTTACTGATATGCGTATCTGTTTGGTTATGTCCATTCACTGTCCAATGAACAAAGCTGCAGTTTCTGTGGATGAAACCCCATACACTGACTAATGTCTCCTCACAGCCTATTATTTTAATATCAGTTTCATCAGTGAGTAAGATCTTTGAGCAGCAATTTATGAGTACTGAGACTAAATTCTTTGACGAATTTAACTGATTTCTTTTCAAATATGAATCCATGGAGTACAAACCAATTTGACCTCGAAGATGAGGACCAATCTTCAATTATTTGCTCAGGAGAACAGGGTTTTTTAACAAAGCATTTCTGGACAGATTTTTATCTTTGCTTCAATTTATTGTAGGTTATATAGTTATTTATTTTATGAAAAACGTTTTTAACCTCCACTTTTGCTGTAGTACAGCCTGCACCTGTTAAGATTATGTTGATTACTTTTAGTAACCCCTTACTAACAGTCTGGTCCATAGCATAAAAATATGTATAAAAATAAAATTCAATTCATTACAAATGAATCAAATTTAAAAGCTTTATTTATCCCCAGGGGGCTTTTAGACGTACACAGAGCAGCTATGTATAACATAGTGGTATTTACAGCAATGGTAAGGACAGCAGGACAACTACGGTTCCTATAGCATTATGGACAGCTGTTTACATATGTGCACCTTGTCATGTGACCAAGATCATCTTTAAGAGAGTGCACAGATATTTAATGGAACTAAACAAGGACATAGTAGAGGCCTCGAGTCTTAAAACTGCATTTACAACTGCACTTCTGGTAATGTTGACCTTTCCGTTTTTCATCTTTTCATCATTTTTACAAGATATGAAATATTGTAAGCCTCTTACGCTAAATACAGCAATATATGCTGAGAAATTCAGCGGTGAACATCCCTGGCAAAAGCAATTGTACGATACTTCAAACAATTACATTCTTACCTAACTGTATCTTAAAGAAAATTGGGCTGAAAACATATACGCCTTAATTTATTAATTTATCACCGCGAAAGACCAGCACACTGAGTGTAACAATTTCTTTCACACTACAGCAAGGCCAGAAACACGACTAATACTGCATAAGAACGAGACAGCGAGATAACACAAAAGTAAAAGAAAAAGTATTTTGTGTCCAGGTCCTGCTTAATATTTAACAGCATGAATCATCTCTGTCTTTCTCTCATTACTCTGTCCATGCGACCGCCGCTCCTCTTTTTTCAACCACACATGAATGATGCACAGCTAATAGCAGATTAGATCATTGTGCTGTAATTGTTAGCACTAATCACTCAGTGTGGGGACCCACGCTCATATATGACGTGCGGCGCTTCACAAACCGAGGCGTGCGGTTGGAAAAAAACCCACTGTAGTTCTCGGCCGGTGACATTTGTACTGTAATGCTGCACTACCTTCCCTATAGCACTGCAACAATGGAAAACTCCTGCTGCTGAACTTGATGCACTTCATGAGCAAAATCACATCCTGCCGACAGACCCCTGATGATGGTGTACTCTTAGAATCCATACAGTATATCCATACAGTATTGCAGTAGTTGATGTATTTCAATTTTACATTTTTTAAATTGCTGGCTTTCTTTTCGAGAGATATGCAGATTTGTCATTCATTATGATTCATTTACCCAGAGATTGATCAGATTAATCATTTTGGATGGATGGATGGATGGATGGATGGATGGATGGATAGATGGATGGATAGATAGATGGATGGATGGATAGATGGATAGCCTTGATGCAATGCAAAATCAAAAACGCAGCTGAATAATGTCCATAATCAGGTGGTTACACAGATAAGATGTAAAGATCTTTGGGCAGATTATAATGACCTACAATAGTTGGACTCTTGCCAGGCTGAGCCGTAAACTGATTCCACCCCTCCTCCCGCCTGGTGCTTTTTTGGATTTAAGTGGTGCACTCCAGATTGCATTACCACCTGGTTCCCACTGGTTGACATTACTACCCTGAACATGTCTTAGCCATTTGCAGAGAAAGGTTTAACAGTAAAAATACAGCATAACATACATCACGCACACCGCTTTAATTTTGAAAATACCTGCAAAATCGTCTCTGCTTACTAAACATTCTGATTAATGACAATTTATCCTCTCCATCTCTCTCTATCGCTTTCTTTCTTTCTCTGTCTCTCTCTCTCTCTCTCTCTCTCTCTCCCTCCCACTTTCTTGGGGCAAAGTGTACATATCCTTCATAACAGATGTGTTCAACCTGGAGTAGGCATGAGTACATTCTCTCTGGCTGCATTCTAATGATGGATTAAAACACTAAGAGTGTAATTGATGGTAAATGACATCCCTAATCAGTCTCCCAGATAAACAAGCTCCTCATTAGAGCAGCAATTAGTCGGGTAATGAAATCCTGTCAGAAAATACAAAAGGGAAAGGGACGTGTCAAGTTAAAATACATTTCCTGCGGGGACATCACCGACCAAAGGGCGTATGAGGGAAAAGGCTCCCAAAAGGGGGCATTTATTTTGACTGGAGGATTGGTTCATTTCTGTTCTGTTCTGCTCTGCATCATATCATAGCAGCTCTGACCTGAAATTGTGAGTAGATTTTGAAGAAAATCTCTAATTCAGTCGTACATCGGAACCAATGTTTGTTGGGCAAAACATACTTGTTACTGAAATTGCATTTGCCCCTCTCTGAAGGTCCACAAACTCTCTTCGCCAGCAACACTGAAATTCAAGATTGAGTAACATTTCAGTTCACGCCAGTGTTAATCCGTCATGTTTAAACTTGATTGAAGTTTTATTCTGATCAATCACAGGGAAGTTGCGATTAATCATAAGCGTATGTTCATGACTAATTGAGATAAATCAACGTTCCTGCCTTGGTGAACTAGTGGCTTATAAAACTCCAGTGAAGATGTTGTCTTAAACAATCCAATCCATTCAATAATACTGACCCTGAAGTTAATTCCAGCCCAAACACCAGGTGTCGAGATGGTATTTTAAACATGAGGGTGCTTCAGGCAAACAATAACATTTTCCCGCAGTGTGTCTGATTGATAATGATAATTGCATGGACCTTTCAGGGATAGGCAAATTTGCTCAAAAAATGTAAAACTGTAAACAAAAATAAAAATGATTGGTGTTGAACAATGACACACAGGCAATAAGAACTATTTTGATGCCACGGATAATGTTTAATAGTAAACACATGTGGGCTTGCCTGTGTTTGACTCATCACATAGCATAGCCGCACATCACCACCCCACCCTGCCCAGACCCTGCAGCATTGATCTGACTGCCTCTTTGATGACTAATATATGAGATTTTAAAAGCAAGAAAAAGAAAAAAAAAAAAAAAAAAAAACCAACAGAGTTGGTTTCTTCCTAATTATTCTTACCTATGTTCTTATTTCCCAAGGTCTGTTGCATAACTAAGTAGCTTAAGGTGAACCAGTGTAGTTGTACAAGCGATGAAAAAGACCATTAAGGTGTTACGTATGTATCAGAGAGAATAAAAAAAGTTTGTTCCTTTACCTTTTTAAAAATAGAAAAAACAAAAACAATAAAATAAGGCCCATATGAAGTTATTGTGATGATAACCTTTAAAATTGACATTTGTATTTGGAGTATGGTCAATAACAAAACAATAGGTTCATGTGGCTGGATTTGACTTACAGCTAATACTGGCAATATTGGCAGGTCCAATAATTAGCACTGCATACCTTAGTATTAGGGGGCGCTGTATCTTTTGCTTTACAGTATTTATAGTTTATTTTATCACTAAGTCTCTTCCAGTCTCCTCAGCATGTCACACATTCCGACCGGGATTTTTTTTTTAGCAGGGAAACAAGCTTGTTAGTCTGACTGGAACTATATATGTGTGTATCTATCTGTGTGTGTGTATGTGTGTGTGTGTGTATATATATATATATATATATATTTGTTTGGTA